GTGGTTGCAGGGGTCGAGTCTTAGCTCCTGGCCCCGCCTCTTCACCGGTTGCTACTAGGCCCTCTCTCTCCCCGCTCCATGAGCTTTATCAAACCTCGTCTTAAAACACCTTCAAAAAACACCACCAAACACCTCCGAATACTCCCAAAACACTACTGATTACTACCAAATCACCACTGAATACTACCAAATCACCGTCAAAATCACCAGAAACTAATCATTCCGTATATCTCCTAGAGTTGTTTTAACCCCGACGGGCCCATCACGACGTAGGAGCCAGAGCAACCATCACCACTCCAACACCACCTACTACACTCTGGCTCCTAATGTCGTGATGGGCCCGTCGGGGTTAAAACAACTCTAGGAGATATACGGAATGAATAAGGTTGTGTGTGTGTGTGTGTGTGTGTGTGTGTGTGTGTGTGTGTGTTAGGTGGTCATAGAGTTTTGTGAATATCTTGGTTACAGTGATTTTAGTGGATTTGAGTAGGATAAGTTAGGTTAGGTTAGGTTAGGTTAGGATAAGTTAGGTTAGGTTAGGTTAGGTTAGGTTAGGTTAGGATAAGTTAGGTTAGGTTAGGTTAGGTTATGTTAGGTTAGGATAAGTTAGGTTAGGTTAGGTTAGGTTAGGTTAGGTTAGGATAAGTTAGGTTAGGTTAGGATAGGTTAGGTTAGGATAAGTTAGGTTAGGTTAGGTTAGGTTAGGTTAGGTTAGGTTATGTTAGGTTAGGATAAGTTAGGTTAGGTTAGGTTAGATTAGGATAAGTTAGGTTAGGTTAGGTTAGGATAAGTTAGGTTAGGCTAGGTTAGGTTAGGTTAGGTTAGGATAAGTTAGGTTAGGTTAGGTTAGGTTAGGTTCGGTTAGGTTAGGTTAGGTTAGGTTAGGCTAGGTTAGGTTAGGTTAGGTTGGTTCGGTTAGGTTGGGTTGGTTCGGTTAGGTTAGGTTAGGTTAGGTTAGGTTAGGTTAGGTTAAGTTAGGTCAGGTTAGGTTAGGTTAGGTTAGGTTAGGTTAGGTTAGGTTAAGTTAGGATAGGTTAGGTTAGGATAGGTTAGGTTAGGTTAGGTTAGGTTAGGTTAGGTTAGGTTAGGTTCAGTTCGGTTAGGATAGGTTAGGTTAGGTTAGGTTAGGTTAGGTTCGGTTAGGTTAGGTTAGGTTAGGTGTGTGTGTGTGTGTGTGTGTGTGTGTGTGTGTGTGTGTGTGTGTGTGTGTGTGTGTGTGTGTGTGTTTGTGTGGTGTCTTAGGTGGTCATAGAGTTTTGTGATATCTTGGTTACAGTGATTTTAGTGGATTTGAGATGGGTGATGAGAGGCATTTGTGGATGCGAAATGTGATTTTTGTGTGTGTTCAGAAGAGGTGTGTTGGGAGATGGGTGAGTGGATGTGAAGAAATGTGGGTGAGATGGAGAGGGGTATGGGGAGGGTTGAATTAGAAATTTAATGAAATATGGGGAGATTTTACTGAAAATAAAGGTAATGTGTGAATATTTTAAAAGAAATTATAGAATTGAAAAGTTATGATATATTGGAAAAGAATGGAGGGTGTTGAAACATGTCGCAATAGTTGGGTAGTGAGATTAGTTGATGCGAGTATAATATCAATTTATGTGGATACAAGGACATGGGTATGGAGAGGATTTTATTAGAATTTTAGTAATGTAAAGAGGAATGTGTATTACATTTAAGATTCAGTAAAAAGAAGGGGAAAAAATTGTGAATAAATTGGTAATTGATGAGGGTTGTGGGTAATGTAGTCGAACTAGAGATACCAAAAAAAGATGATATAAGTGGGTTGTTTTGTGACTTTTTCTGATGAAATTAGTTAAAACGAGAAAAAATTGTGGGTTGTTGGTGATGTGGGTTGTGGGTGATGTGGGATGTGGGTGTTGTGGGTTGTGGGTGTTGTGGGATGTGGGTGTTGATCTTAGTTTATGGTGATTTTGGTGGTGTTTTGAGTGTATTCAGTGGTGTTTTAGTAGTATTCAGTGGTGTATTTGGGAGTACTCAAATTGTGATTTGAGGTTATTCAAAGGTGTGATTATAAGTTGTGGGTTGTTGTTGTTGTGACTTTCTGATGAAATTAGTTTAAAACGAGAAAAAATTGTGGGGTGTGGGTGATGTTGATTGTGTGTGTTGTGGGGTGTGGGTGATGTTGGTTGTGTGTGTTGTGGGGTGTGGGTGATGTGGGTTGTGTGTGTTGGGGGGTGTGGGTGATGTGGGTTGTGGGTGTTGTGGGATGTGGGTGTTGTGGGTGTTGTTGTCGAACTAGAGATACCGAAAAGATGTTATAAGTGGGTTGTTGTTGTGCCTTTTTCTGATGAAATTAGTTAAAAGAGAAAAAAATTGTGGGGTGTGGGTGTTGTGGGTTGTGGGTGTTGTGGGTTGTGAGTGTTGTGGGATGTGGGTGTTGATCTTAGTTTATGGTGATTTTGGTGGTGTTATGAGTGTATTCGGTGGTGTTTTAGTAGTATTCAGTGGTGTATTTGGGAGTACTCAAATGGTGTTTTGAGGTTATTCAAAGGTGTTTTTGAAGGTGTTCAAATGATTTATGAGAGTACTTATGAAGGTGTTCTGGGAGTATTCAGAGGTGATTTGGGGGTGTTCGAGTGATGTTTTTGGAGTATTTAAAGGTAATTTGATGGTGGTTTTTGGTGATGTTCAAAGTAAAGTGTTTGAGTTAGTTTTTGTGATAATGTTGTGAAGTCTGGAGACTGAGGGAGGAGTTTGGGGAAGATGAGTTGTAATTTAATGAAATGTGTAAGTGCAGATAAATTAGAGCTGTCAAATCTTATTTGGGAGTATTCAAAATGATATTTTGGAAGTGTTTCAGTGTTGTTTAGAAATGTTCAAAGGTATTTTTGTGAGTATTCAAATGATTTATGAGAGTGTTTTGAAGGTGTTCAAAGTAAAGTGAGGTGTGTGTGCGTATTAACTTTGTAATATGTAAAATTGTGTCTAGTGAGTTAATGGAAAAGTGGTTATAAGTGTTGTGGTGACTTTTTCTGATGAAATAGTTAAAACGAGAAAAATTGGGGGTTATGAGTGAAAATTGTGAGGTGTTGGTTGGAGTGTGAAGGTTCGGGAGGGTGGGGAGGAGGAGAGAGAGAAGGTTACTTCATGGGGAGCGACCTGAGATGAAATAGTTAAAACGAGAAAAATGTCTAGACTTGTATTTTGTAAAGAAATTGTGGATTGTTGTGGGTATTAACGAAAAAAATGTGAAATTATTTGGATTATCCTGGGTTAAGAGTGAAAATGTTTTCCCTATGTTGTATATGAAATGTGTAAGGGGGAAGCCTGTGTGTGTGGGGTCATCACGTGACGTCACTGACATAGGGGGAAGTCGACAAGATTCAGCCTGTATGTGTGAGGTCATCACGTGACGTCACTGACCGCCGAGTAAACACAGGTGGGGTGACGTCACACTTGTTTAGACCTGTAGTAAGAGAAAGTACCATGCCCCATAGGAGGAGTTCATTTGAATGCTTACCTTGAGAGGGGGGAATCCAAAAACTTAATCCGAGGAGATGGAGTCTTGGTATTATCGAGAAAAAACTTGATCCAAGGAGATGGAGTCTTTGTATTATCGAGAAAAGCTTGATCCAAGGAGATGGAGACTTCCAAAAAACTTGATTCGAGGAAGTGGAGACTTTGATTTCGAGAAAAAACTTGATCCAAGGAGATGGAGTCTTTGATTTCGAGAAAAAATTGATCCGAGGAATTGGAGTCTTGGTATTATCGAGAAAAACTTGATCCAAGGAGATGGAGACTTTGATTTTGAGAAAAATTTGATCCGAGGAATTGGAGTCTTTGTATTATCGAGAGAAAAAAAATTGGGATGCAAGTGGGAGTTCATTTTGAATGCTTATACGCAGAGGGGGAATCCAAAAACCTTGATCCAAGGAGATGGAGTCTTTGATTTCGAGAAAAATTTGATCCGAGGAATTGGAGTCTTGGTATTATCGAGAAAACCTTGATCCAAGGAGATGGAGACTTTGATTTCGAGAAAAATTTGATCCGAGGAGATGGAGTCTTTGTATTATCGAGAAAACCTTGATCCAAGGAGATCATAAGAAAAAAAAATTCGAAAAAATTTGGGGTGGGGGTGAAAGTGGGAGGGGCAATCCAAAAACTTGATTCGAGGAGAGCACAAGAAATTCAAAAAAAATTCGAAAAAAATCGGAAAAAAATTCGGGGAGTGGGGGCGATCCGGAGGACGCTGCAGAAGGTGCAGCAGAAGTCACGGGCGGGCGCGAGGGCGCTGGGCGCGAGGGGCGCGGGCGGTTGCAAGGGCGCAGCAGGGCCGGTGGGTCGGCGCTAGGGCAGGGCCGGTGGGTGGGGGGGCGCAGGGGGGGGGCGGGGGCGCGGGGGGTCGTGGGCGGGGCTGGGGGTCATGGGTGGGGTCATGGGTGGGGTCATGGGTGGGGTCATGGGTGGGGTCATGGGCGGGGTCAAGGTCATTAGCATATGGGTGTGAAAAAGGTCATTAGCATATAGGTGTGAAAGGGAGACCGCTCTGTAGAAGTCCTTTTGGGAGGAAGCCACTGAGAGGAGGAAGCCACTCTGTAGAAGGAGCCACTGAGAGAGGAAGCCATACTGTAGAAGAAGCCACTCTCTGTAGAAATCAGTACTACTCATAATATATATATATATATTATATATATATATATATATATATATATATATATATATATATAATATATATATTATATATATATAATATATGCCTATAAAATGTAAGCATTAACATGCTATATATATCTCCCTCCTCCCAGTTTTATGATTGAATCCTCTAACTTGCTGATGTGAGCCAGGAATGTTACCTGCCACCCATGACAGGTGGTAGCACCTCTCTGAGCAAATGCTGCTTAAACATCGTCACATTACATCATCTATTTGTCACTTTTTAATCATCTAAAACACTCAGTGTTTCGCTGTTAGGTTATACGACTAAAACTTGGTTGTGTGACGACTGACTACTGTAAGGTTTTTCTGCATTCACCTGGCAGGTATGGAGGTGTGTGTGCCGCGGCTGCGACCCACGGTGGGTGTGGTGCTAGCACTGCCCTACGCTCTCATGATGATCTTCCTCGCCCTCCTCGCCTACTTCGTCAGAGACTGGCGCACCCTCCATGCTGCTGCCACCTTCCCTTTGTTGCTCCTCTTCATCCCTGTTCTCTAGTGAGTTGCAGCGTTTTTCTTGAGCTGTGTGTTGTTTTGGATCGGTTTATGGACGTGTGCTACCTTGTTAGTTTATTATTCACCCCATACACAAACCTGTAAGACAAGGTTTAATAAAGACCATAGAGGCACATAATGGATCCATCGACTGGTCTTCTTCATTGTATTATCTGAGCAAAATATAGTAGTAATTAACTATTTAAAAAAACTGTCAGTGTCTCTCTAGGTTGGATTATTGCTATACACTAACGGCCCCTTTTGTAGACCCACAGTGGGTCTACACTTTCAAGGCAGACGAAATTGCAGACCTGGATAATGGACAGAGAACTTCCACGGCACGCATAAGTACGATAAAGTCCCTTGATTTGTATACCCTGGAACGCAGGCGAGAAAGATACATGATAATACACACTTGGAAAATCTGAGAGGGACTAGTCCCAAATTTGCACACGAAAATCATTTACTATGACAGCAAAAGATTGGGCAGGAGGTACAACATCCCCCCAATGAAAAGCAAGGGCGCCACGAGTACACTAGGAGACAACACAGTAAGTGTCAGTGGCTCAAGACTGTTCAACTGCTTCCCAGCAAATATAAGTGGGATTATCAATAGATCCTTAGCAGTCTTCAAGAAGGCACTGGACAGGCACCTAAAGTCAGTACCTGGCCAGCCGGGCTGTGGATTGTACGTCGGTTTGCATGTCGATTTGAGTGTCATGGTCTGTCATTGATACCTACTTTGTCTCAGAGAATTTCCCCTCCTATCCGTTGATGTCTTGCAATGTTGCATAGCTCCTGACAATGCAACAGAATGCGAAAGATCTAGAGTTAAAGATTTCCATCCCCCTGTCGTTTGTTTTGCATTGTTAAAATCGCTTGTTTGCGATTGTGCTGCAAATATTTGACAGTTTCTGAGTTGAGTGCAATTAATGGTCATGGTACTTTGAGTTCTGTCACCCTATTTGAGAATCTTTACTCAAAATTTTTTAATATGCTTTATTAAACAATTTCCAGTGAGCGGCAATATATCTGATGAAATAAATTAACAAGTTCGTTACTATATAAAGATAACTCTGTTCTCTCGATACCAAAATGTTTCTCACACTAGTTCTTACTCTTCTGTTATGGTTAGCCTCTATCCACTCCTATTACAACAAATTATAAAAATTTTTACATAAAAAATATTATTATTAGCAGCAATAGTTTTATATCTAATTAAATTATATTTAGCATTAAAATATATACAAATAATATCTATTAAGACTTTTCGGAATTAAAGAGAGTTACAGAGTGTCAGGGTAGAAGGTCAAAACTTAAGGTGTTTGTAGCGTTAACAAAGTGTGTTGTGTTGTATCAGTTTGGTGGACGAGTCGCCCAGGTGGTTGCTGGTGCACGGTCGTGTGCACGAGACAGTGAAGGTGCTACAACGAGGGGCGCGCCTTAACAAGGTGATGCTGCCTGAAACCACCATACTCACTGCCATCATATCTCCCACCAGTGAGGTGAGTCTTTATCATCTCTCACAGCAGTGAGGCTAGTCTCTATCATCTCTCCCACCAGTGAGGTGAGTCTCTATCATGTCTCACACCAGTCAGGTGAGTCTATCATCTCTCCACTATCATAAATCCACTAGACTTTGAGAAACCCATTGGCAACATGCCCATGCACTCAGCCCCAGGCCCACACTCGTGGAACACTGTGTTCATTAAGAACGGCAAGAAACCCCTTTCGCATGCCCTAAGTATGCTATGGAAAAGGAGCATAGACATGGGTGAAATTCCACATAACTAAAAACAACGGATATAACCCCACTCCATAAAGGTTGCAGCAAAGCATTAGCTAAGAACTATAGACTAATAGCCCTAAACTCCCACATCATAAAAGTCTTTGAAAGAGTACTAAGAAGCATGACCGGAAACCACTTGACTTCCCCAAACCTGCACAATCCAGGGCAACATGGGTTCAGAGCAGGTCGCTCGTGCCTCTTACAACTACTGGATCACTATGATATGGTCTTGGATGTACTGGAAGACAAACAGAATGCAGATGTAATATACACCAACTTTGCAAAAGCCTTTAACAAGTGCGATCATGGTGTAATAGCGCACAAAATGCGTGTTAAAGGGATAACTGGGGTAGTGGGGAGATGGATGTTCAATGAAGACAAATTCGAACTACTCCGTTATGGAAAACTGGAGGAGATAATAATTAGAACTGAGTATACTACTGAGTATACTACAAACTCTGTTATCATATAATACATAGGAAAAGCAATGTGAGGGATCTGGAAGTACTAATGTCTTAGGATATCACTTTCAAGGATCACAACAATGCCACGATCACAAAAGCGAAGAAAATGACAGAATGGATGATGAGAGCGTTCAAAACAAGAGATGTCAAGCCAGTGATAATCCTTTTTAAATCACTTGTGCTCTTGAGGCTGGAATACTGCTGTACATTCAAAGCAGGTGAAATTGCAGGTCTAGAGAACCTTTATTACACATACAAGTTCAGTCAAACACCTCAACTACTGTGAATGCTTGAAAGCAATTTGACTTACTCGCTGGAAAGCAGACGAGAGAGATATATGATAATCTACAATTGAAAAATCCTAGAAGTAATGGTCCCTAATCTGCACACAGAAATCACGCCCTACGAAAGTAAAAGACTGGGCAGGCGGTGCAAAATACCCCCAATGAAAAGTAGGGGCGCCAATGATACACTAAGAGAAAACACAATAAGTATCCGGGGCCCAAGACTGTTTAACAGCCTCCCACCAGGCATAAGGAGAATTACCAATAGACCACTGGCAGCCATCAAGACGGAGCTGGACAGATACTTAAACTTGGTGCCGGATCAGCCGGGCACGTACGTGAACCACAGCCCGGTTGGTTGGGTACTGACTTTAGGTGCCTGTCCAGTGCCTTCTTGAAGACAGCCAGGCGGCTAGCAATAACACCCTGGTTGATCAGGCCCTGATCCATCGGGGAGACCTGGTTGTGGACCTGGTTGTGGACCTGGTTGTGGACCTGGTTGTGGGCCTGGTTGTGGACCAGGTTGTGGACCTGGTTGCGGACCAGGTTGTGGACCTGGTTGTGGATCTAGTTGTGGACCTGGCTGTGGACCTGGTTGTGGACCTGGTTGTGGACCTGGTTGTGGACCTGGTTGTGGACCTGGTTGTGGACCTGGTTGTGGACCTGGTTGTGGACCTGGTTGTGGACCAGGCCGCAGGGGCGTTGATCTCTTAAATATCCTCCAGGTAGACTCCAGGTAGTGAGGTGAGTCACTACTGTGTTTCCCACTAGTGAGGTGAGTCTTTATCATCTCTTCCAGCGGTGAGGTGAGTCGTTATCATCTCTACCAGCGATGAGGTGAGTCTCTATCATCTCTCTCAGCCGTGAGATGAATCTCTATTATCTCTCCCTGTGGAGAGGTAAGTCTCTGCTATCTCTCCCAGTGGTGAGTTGAATCTCTGTTATCTCTCTAAGTGGTGAGGTGAGTCTCTGTTAACTCTCCCAGCGGTGAGGTGAAGCTCTGTTATCTCTCCCAGCAGTGTGGGTAGACTCTGTTATCTCTCCCAGCAGTGTGGGTAGACTCTGTTATCTCTCCTAGTAGTGAAGTGTGGCTCTATTTTCTATTATTGGGCTACGTCCTTCTTTCTGACTTCGTTATGTAGGTGATGTCTTTACTCTTTGGATAAGTGATTCCAGTCTGTTATAACCTTTGCTTGATACCCTGAACATTCTTGCTCGATTGAATTTACATTCATTTGACACTGAGGTCCGGGGGTCGATTCCCGGTACTGTTGGAAATATTAGGACGTGCTTCTTTAAGACACTTGCTGTCTTTGTTCATCTATCAGTAAAATAGGTATCTGGGTGTTAGTCGATTGGTGTGGGTTGCATCCTGGGACAAAATTTACCTAATTTGCCAGAAATATTCTGCATAACAAGGAGCTTTCTGTGTTGTAATATGTCATTGATGTACTTGTGGAAATAAAGATTTTTATTATTATTATTATTATTATTATTATTATTATTATTATTATTTTACCATTATTATTATTATTATTATTATTATTATTATTATTATTATTATTATTATTATTATTATTATTAGTCTTAAGGTGAATGGGAATCTCTTTGCTTCCTCTCCTTGATGTTCATGTCCACCACTCAATGACAGACTTTTCTTTTCACGTTTTCCGCAAATTTATACTTTGTCATGCTCCTTCTGCCAAGAAAAGTCTGTTTGTTTCTCTTTTTTCGTGCCCTCCGCATATGTGACCCTCAATTTCTCGACCCTGAAATCACTTCGCATCTCCTTTCACCTTGGCTGTCTTACCGATTTCATAAACTCTGCCAACTCCTTTGCTGAACGGATTTTTTTTCCCCAAAAACAACCTTTTTAACTTAACCTATAAATGCAATATTCTGAAGGTTAATAACACACTCCGTCGTATAGATATTAAAACTTACTTTCGTTTAACTAATAACCTAAGCGGGAATCTTGTTCATTTTCCCCTTTCCTGTGGTTGATGCTTCCGGCATTTATTTCTATTTCATGTTGTCTTCTCCAGTTTTGTGGTGACACTGACCGTTACCTTTCTGACAGACTTAAACAGCACAAAAAAGTATTCATCTTGTTAATCCCAACCAGTGGCGGCTCATGTATAGGCACTGGGGAACTGCAGAAACCCCCCTATTTTCACTCGATATTATCAATAACATTCAATATAATGAGTCTTTTTTTCTTTTATTTTTTTCTTTATACCTGTACATCTTTAAGCTTAATGTCAGTAGCCATCCTCTAGTACACGAAAAAAATTACAAAAAATCCCTTTTATGGAACTGTCACTCACAGTTCCAGCAACCTGTGTTTGGCTGTTGTATGAATGCGCACATGTCCGAGATAAATGCTGTACACTAGGTAGAGAGAGCACGCCACTGACGCAGTGCCAACCCTGTTATACAAGTGCAAGGTAGTGTTTTCTTTTGACTCAGCGACGTGTACTGTGCTTAAAAACCATGTAAACCCTATCTTGAATGTGATGAAGTGTAGAATTAAAAGAAAATCATGCTTCCAGCTATTTTATTTAATTCATTGTTTTTTTTTCGGTTCTTTTATTTTACAGAAAATTTAAATAATTTAGTCATGGCCTCCTTGCACCCCCAAAAAATAAGTTCTGTGACTGTAAGTGAACTTCAACAGCTTAAGTTTTCACAGTTGTCTCTCCATGAGAAAGTTACAGTTAAGAAAAGAGGCCGTTAAACACCTGATATTCAAATACATCAGCCAGGATTAAACAACAACAAGAAATATAATCGTAGCTTTAATTCTGAATGGTACCAATGGAAAAGTTGACTTTGCGGCTGTGAAGTACAAAATGCATTGTTTTACTTCCCGTGTTTGCTGTCTGGAGGTGATGTAACGTGGACAAAAGACGGTTTTAGAAATATAAACAAAATGAAAGAAAAACCTGAAAAACATGAAAAGTCAAAGAAGCGTTGAAAGTGTGGTTTCACTGTCACTTTTAGGAAATATTAAGGATAAACTTGCTGAGTCATGCAGACTTTCAATCATTGAACGTAACATAAAGGTTAAAAAAAACGTGAAATTTTATCCAAAATCATAGACTGTATTTTCTTTTGTAGAAACTTAAAACTCCCTCACGTCGACATGATGAAAAAGATGATTCAGTAAATCCAGTGGTATTTAGAGGATTAATAAATTTTGCATGTAAATTAGATCCAGATTTGAAGAATCACTTAGAAACCAATACGGTTTTCAAAGGTGTTTCTAAGACCATTCAAAATGAGATGCTTGACTGCCTGCTACACATATGCCATGAGGAGATAAGGACAGAAATTAGAGAAGCTTCCTCTGTAGCTGTCATGGTTGATGACGTAACAGTTGTTTCGGAATACACTCAAATGGTCATTGTTCTACGGTACGTGTTGAATGGAGAAATATTTGAACGTTTTTTGGGGGGATTCTTTATTCCAGAAAATCAAATTGCACATAGCATATCAAAACGTATACTAGAGCAATTAGACATAATCCCTCAAGGAAATGGACAAAAACTGATCGCTCAGAACTTGATGGTGCAAATGTCATAAAAGGCAAAAAAGCAGGAGTTCAAGCAAAAAATAAAAGCAATTTATTTTAATGCACATTTCATTCACTGTTATGCAGATCAATTTAATTTAATAATGAGAAATACAGCAGGTATTACACG